CTGTTTAGTATTAATGCATTCATAAGCACATCATGAAAAAAGACAAATCTGCACTCCTCAGCTTTGGCAGACAGATCTTAAAAAATCTCATCCTTTGTGCAGGATCTGATCCAAATTGGCATCAATGGACTTCACACTTAAAGCTGAGGAATGCGGTTGGATTTTAATCAATTAATGCAGTGTCGAAACATTTTTAAAGTAAGTGGTGATGATTCGGTGAAAAGTGTCCGACTGCAGCCAAAGTACGATTTTTACATGGTCGGCCTTAACTTGAGTCTCTATAGAGCAATTTCTCTTTCTGTTTTCTGATATACATCTTATTAACTACTGGTTTACTCAACTTGGTTTTCAGCGTAAAGTTCTGTCCTGTCACATTTCTACCGTCTGAAAGGTTTGAGAGATTAATTAATATCTTTGAATGTAAGTCATTTAATATTAATCCAAATATGAATTTAAATATGGTTTCATGAGGGGAATTTTGTGCCTTTGTTAATGTGTGTATGTATTTTTAAACATAATATTTTATTTTTGATGCAGAACTTCAGTCTTAGTTTAAGGACCAGATGAGACCATTTAAAAGAATCTGCGACTTTCTGACAGCCATTTTTTCTAGTTTGCAAACTAAATTATAATCGGTTAATTGTCAAAATAATTGGTGCATTACTCAAAAAATAATCTTTAGTTGCAGCTCTTATTTTTTGCCAACTTCAGCACTCTGAAAAATATAAGTTAGTGGCAACAATATTGTGGGATGATCTGGTTGTTTGAGGTCGATTTATCTCAACACGCATCCGCAGACCAATATTTTCACAAAGCTCAGTTTCTACCGGTCAGAAATTCTTAAACATCAGGCTGAATGTGAGATTAGACGGAAGGAAACATGCATTTCAAGAGAACCCACACCAGCTTGACTTCCCAGTGTGTGTGTGTGGGAGTATATGATCTTTCTTCCTCCCAGGACCAGACAGTGTCTGACTTCATACCCGCTCAAATCACTCAACTTGTCCGTGGTTACAGCATCACCCCCCCCCAGCCCTCGCACTCTCTCCCCCAGCCTTTGATACACCCCTATAGCCTCCACCAGTTCCCCTGGAGTGCAATCTCTAGTCCACTGGTATTGATCAGGCGCACAAGGTTTTGATTAGCACACTTGGCTAGATAACAGGGGGGGCTTCACTGCATGATTGTTCTCGACCATTCCACTGTCTTGTTCCTCCGTTGGCCAGGGAGTACTTCACTTCATTGGAGTCAGTGATTGGATGCACCCTGGACCCCCACATCCACCCTCTGCAGTAAGAGATCCAAGGGCCTGATGCTCTCTCTCCACTTGACTGAGTGTTTTGCTGTTGGTTTTGAAGGCAAGTTGAATGCAGGCGGCACGGTGCGACCAAGAAGGGTCTGCTGCAGAATGGCACTGAACTTGGGTGCTATACATAGATGAAAGAACTGATAGCGGTCACATTCGTCAAAACAAGGGAAGCTGGGGTTTTCCACGTCCAATAAAGAATCTCATAGTGAAGATAAGCCCCCAAACAAAAGAACAGGCGTGGGGAGAGATGTGAAGTCGATACGGGTGTTCAATCAAGAGGGACGTCCAACTTTTTCTCATTTGCCAGAGAAAGAAGAAGACAAGGGCAAGCTGTTGGCTGCTCAGGCATTCTGACATTGCTGCCCAGGAGTCAGCCACCCATTGGCCTATTCACTGGTCAGCCAATTAGGTCTCGTCTTTAAAGGTTTAATACCTACAGTTAAGGCCACCATTGTGCACCAACTAATGCTATTTCAGGCTTTCACTCACTTTGGGAGCTTTCATTAAATCCTGAAGAATGCCGGGGCTATTCACAGAGAGGATTGAGGTAAAAGCCTTGAATTTTGATATTTCTCTCACAACCCCCTCTTTACGTCTCCCCATCTCACTGCTCATCCAAAGACACAATCTTTCAAATGATGGCACTTGTAAGAGCAAAGGAGGTTGATTCCCACGTTTGGCTCTTGACTGTTATTCATTTGACTTCCTGTCAGGTGTTTTACAGGGTCAGGATGCTCTCACCGTTTAAAAGTTTTATCAACTCCCTTTTTCTTTGGGAAGTCTCCGGTCATATGACTCATTGACTTTCTTCCTCTGAAGTCAGAGCAGCACATGGAGTGTGTCCCAGTTTCATTTGAAAGGTTTCCACAAACATTTCATGGTCATCTGACTCGATATTTCCACTCCCTGTTCCAGGCTGAATCGTCGTAAACAGTGCCCCCATTGAGAGCAAAACTTATCTAACAAAAAAAGGCAGGAGACGGGTGCAGGCACATTCCTTCAGTCGTGTTCATTAGTTGCACACTTGCTGTGATGCATGCTGGGGGATGTTGGCTGGGCTTGGCCGACCACTCAAGCACTAAGCGCGCCAACAGATGTAGTGTAGCCTCTCCAAACAGAGGGGATCAGACTCACTCAAACTTGGCCAGGAATCTGGGGAGTTGTTGGAGGAAGAGGAGGGGACGAAGAAGAGAAATGGATAGTCAGTGAGAGAGAAAAACAAGGAGATGGGTTGAGGCAGAGAGAAAGAGAAGAGGCTTGAGGATAAAGACAGACAAACAGAGAGGGGTGGGGGCGGGAGGTGGGAGACGAGTTGTTCCCCAGAGGCATCACTCTTGGTGTCTCACTCCACTGGTCCCTATAATGTGTGACGCTCAGGAGATTGACAGACTGTGTAAAACTCAGCCCACAGGAGAAAACAACAACACAAGTCAGACACATGAAAACCGCAACTCGACTGAGCTTGTGCCGAGAAGACGCTGCGGTGGGGGAGTTAGATGGACAGCAGCACTGTTTGATGTAACCTTTACACATTGAGGGAACGTTTGCTGAGCGCATGAGCTCTCTTTTACTTTTTTTTCTCATTGTGGTCCTGTGGTACCCGAACATATTAACATGGATTTGAACCTGTGAGCTGCCATTTTTCATGAGGTCACAACCTGCTTTTTTAAAGCTTTTCCATGAGGAAACACTCTTATCTTAGGGTGACAACAAAACATTTCATAGTGCAGATTAAAAAAAAAGAACTGGTCCTTACCTGTTAAATAAACCACTCAGTATTCTAAATATAAGTCCTGAGGAAAGGAAGCTTTTTTCACCACCAACCACAAGGGGCAGCAATGAGCCCACTCAGTAATTAAAAAACAAAAAAACAAGCCAGTTTGTCATATTTTTTCAAACTGTAGTTTTACTCTGACTAATTTCCATAAATGATTTGTTCATCAGATCAGAGGTTCCTCTTATGTCCTATTATCTTGTCCACAAAAGCTGCAAAGACAGACAGAAAGCGGGATAAGCCCATTTTATGAGGCTGTACCCTCACTTATCTCCCCACTAGCACACCTCAGATGATATAGCTCCATATCAGCCAGTGCGATGCCCCCCCACCCTACAATTGAAAAAATATAGGTCCGCCACAGTCCGACGTTCTCACATCCTCTCGCTCGTGTCCTTGAGGCGTGAAGATATAATTGACTGCAAAAAGGGGAGCGTTTCATTCACAGGTATCTCTCAGTTTGACCTTCAGCGATGATGGAGTGAAAGTAGCCGAATGAAGATGAATGACGGGCACAGTCAACACTTTGACCCACTGCTCCCCCCGCCTGACGACCAAGTTTAACATGGCCATCATGGGCTAATCCTTATTTAGCAGCCGCCATCATCGGCATCGCACACATTGTCAGAGCTATTAATCAAGGTTGTGTGCGGAGCATTTATCACAAGCTGGCGTAGATGTGTACAAGTACTGTATTGTGCAGCGATCATTAGAACACAAGGCATGTTTTCTTTTGCATGCTCGGCTCAATATGCACTCAGCATAACAATCTGTACCTAATAGGATACATGCATTCTTATAAAGTCATTCTTTCATGTGTTTTTCCTGCGAAGCAACATAACTGCCAAGCACCACGTACTTAATGAGCTCCAATGCAGCAACTTTAATTTGCAAAAGCAGATGTTCAAAGTTCAAATTGGTCAATCCCTTCTATGACGCATGAAACGATGATAAATATGGAATATACTGTATATACAAATGCAGATTCTTTATGTTCCTCCATTTTATATTCAGACGCATGCTGTGCCCAATAATCTGTGTCTGCTGTGAGGAAAAGCCAATTTCCATGACATGTTTTTTTCCCCCCTGGTGTTAGAAAGGTTACATATTGATGTGGGTAGTTGATGCAAAATACAATGTGAGCTTGTGAGTAAAATCCTGCACCTTTTGTATTTTTGTGGTCTACATTAAATTTCTGCCAATTGATCCCTTTCACCTCAATCTTACACGCTGGACCTTTAAAGCAGTTGCATTGGATCATAGCATCACTCGTTACCTTGGCTATATTGTGATCTGTGACCAAATCAGACATAAATTCAAAGATCTTCAATATTATGTTGCAGAAATATGCAGTCAAATACAATTTTCAAGGGTTAATTCTCTCAAATAATCAAATAACACATTTTTTGTCACTCAGTGGTATTTAGCCATGACCAGATTAACCTTCTCCGAGTCCCCAGAGCAAACATCTCTTGTTTCTGTTCGTTTTATCTCTTTTACCTTTTTATCTTTCACCAGACACCCAGAAAACAAGCAGTGCTGAAAAGCTGGAGTGATTTGTTGATTAATCCATTAGATGATTGGCAGGAAATTAATTGGCAAACATTTATTAGTCACTTGAGTAATTTATTTAAAGCAAGAATAATTGGTATCAACTTCTCAAATGAGTATTTGGTTTTATATAAAAGATTCAAACAGGTTTTTTTTTTAATATGTTAACTTAGTTACACTGGTGAAAGTGTCTCCCTATTTTCTGCAATTTTGAATGTTACTAAAAAAAAAAATATTTCGATTTTTTTGATATTATACAGAATTGTTGGTTGCAGCCTTTTTGTGCCACTGTGACAGAATAATAATCCATTCTTTCTACTCTGCAATCACGGAAATATAGACCCAGTACTGGAGTAAACCTGACGCCCCTGGGCAGTTGCCTGTTTTGCTGTTAATCCTGTTTTGTATGTAGCCAAGCAGCTATTTAATCTGCTGCTAAACTCCAACACAATGCAGGTGAATGGAATTTAATTTGTGACTGGAATAATAACGTTTAAAAAGCTTAAACACTATGTATTTTTTAGGTTATCCAGGATTATCCACATACAATGTTTTTATTTTCTCTTAAAGAAAAAACCAAAACATTATTTCTGGAAAGCTTTAAAAAGCTCAACAGAAACTTTTTAAAAATGTAATTTTTCTTAATTCTTTCAGAGACTACTTCCCACAGTGACGAGAGGGAGCGAAAGTCGGGGGGCATGTATTTAAAGATGTAGGCAACAAGACCAAAACTACCTTCAAGACCAGATACACATGTGAGTTAAAAAATATATTTCTTAATTCTTATGAACCAAAACTTTGAATGCATCATTTAATTTCTCACCACCACTTTCTCTCAGTGTCATCTCACATGTGACACACTTGCATGTGCGTGCATGTGACAAATCTTCCATTGCGAATCCGCGGCTCGTTTCGACGTGACAACGGTGTGTCACCACTGTGTGGTGTCACCACAATGACCACTCTTACATTTACACCCACGTGCAGACAGTGACACATGCGCCGCTCAAGTGATTTGACTTATCCGCACCGACCGGCAGTTGTTGTGGAGCAAGACGGCAAACAAAGGGTGCGTTGTTTGTGCGTCGCTGATCTGAGCTCAACATGAGAGCTGAATATTGAGTTTATTTCTATCTGCATTAGCTCGCTGTGTTTGTTGATACATGATAGCACTGCATTGTTGCTAAATGCACGCTCGTCTGAGGAGTTAAGCCTCCCTGAACACTGGAGAGCAGGCCAATTACATCTCCTGGATTAAATGGCAAATCCAAGTCATAATGAGAGCCAATCACAATGGTTGCCGAGTATCCTAGCAACCCGACAGCACTTGGTTAGTTATTTGGAAGTATTGTACAGAGTATTATTGTTGTTGTGATGGGAGTACATATAGATAAAGAGAAAAGAAAAGGGGGGTGGGGTGACGACTGTAAATGTGTACGGGAAAGACAGAGAGAAGGCCAGAGCGTAAAATGAATAGAGAGAAAAAAAACAACAAGAACAATTCTGTGAAGTGGGTGAAACTGACAGGCATGTGTGAAGGGATGGAGAGAGGGAGAAGATGTACTCACCGCTGGTTAAGAGAGAGGAAAAGAGCAAGACGGACAGAAAAAAACGAGGGAGACAGTGGAGAAAACATTGAGGGCTCGAGAAGGAATTAGACAGCTTAGGGGGCATTATGTCAGTGTACATAGGATTTAGTGTATAAGTCTGGATTATGGCCTTTTGCTTTGATAGAAAATGCCACCTTATAGGCAGTGGAGCTGTGTTTTGTTCTTCGGGCCGATATCAAAGAGGGCGCCCCGCTGCTTTTTGGAATGCACAGTCACAACGTGGGCACTCAATCCCTTTCACAGAGGAATTCAGATGGGATTTGTAACACCAACCTCTCTGTTTCTTACTGTGTGGGGCCAAATGGACCATGGTGCACAATGGCAGGCAAACCAGAGGGACGGGCAGGTATATAGACAAGTAAATGGACACACATGCACAGGGCTGGGTAATGCCTCCTCTCAAATGCATTTCATTGTTCTGTTTAAATGAGCTTCATTACTTTGCCAAATTTAAGATGTAAAAGGAAAGTGCAGATAAGAAAAGATGAACAATTAAAGTGGAGGAAATGTATTCAAGTTTCAAATGATCCTCTGTCACGTATCATAAAACCACCCTTCTCTTTAAATAGACGAGGTCATTGTCTTACTTTAAAAACGTAGCGTATAGAAAGATGGACGACGTGTCTCTACTTCCTCCCACTGTCCAGAAATTATTCTGCAACCAGACACCAGGGGGAGATCACGAGGCTTTGGCTTCACTTTTGGGGAGATGTCTTGCGAATTAATTTACAAATAATCTTGATGAAAATAATCAGGCATGTGCAGATGACGGATATTTGTGAGCGTGTGCTTTATAGTAGAGATACAATCTATATCTATTGTTATGTTAAGATTATGTAACAATGCACACACCCCTTCACATACACACACACTGTATATCCACATACAGTGTTTGATCTATATAAAAATAACAGACTCCCTTTTATCCATACACACCTACACACGTGTACACTCCAGAATTGCCACTATCCACTTTCCCTCTTGCGTGTTTATTGTCTGCCACATGCAGGATACTGTGTGATTGGTCTGAAAAATCCTACACAGTCCTCCCACACAGTAATGTGCTGTTTTGCACCATGGAGCTCTCTTTCAGGTGCCTCAGTAAATAGGGCCATTGTGTGGAGTGCATTACCCAAAGGTTTTACTCCCATCACTCCCTAGTGGTTTGTGGCCTCACTTTTCACTGTTGCAGTCAAAAGCGCTGTGACGTCGGGGCGAGGGAAAAGGTTTTAGAAGCTGAAAGTGGGAGTTTCAGAACACTGTCGGAGCGGAGTCGCACTTTTTTTTTTTCCATTTTCATTGTAAAATGGCTCTAAAACATCTTTCCTTTTTGCAAAATGATTAATAGCAAAAAAAAAACTGAAATAAATTATGTGGCCAAAAACTAATTAAAGAATCATACTGATGCTTTTGCATGTTTTAGCCCATTAACTAGCAATTATGCAAGCTACATTGTTGCCAACGATTTTTCAAAGTGAACCTTGTTTTCAGAGTGATTTCATATCCTTCAGGCGGCCACTGGATGCCATTTATTTCAGTGCAGGATGAAAATCACCTTACAGAGGCAACGTTAGCTGACAAGTTGAATGATGCATTTATGAGCTATTTTAAAACCGAACCAAATCCGATAGGCAAATATGCATATTTTCACATTTTCAAGTTTGCTTTATGAAGCAAATCGTCAAAAAAGTCATTTCCCGTGTACTCATCTTTAGCATTGCCTTGAGAGGTAATGTTAGCACATAAGCTAGATATGTTGTGTCTCTAAAGCATTGGACACGCCCACCGTAAGGTCCATCTTTTCTAACATACTAATTAATACGTGTTTCCTCTAAATACATTTAATATAACAGAATTGCTCTTGATGCCCCCCCCCCGGTCACTGAGATGAAACCCCCGACCCTGACCTCAGTTGTTTTGGTTCCACTCAGAAAAGAGGAAACTATCTGAACTCCCCGAACGAAAAAGAAAGTTACAAGGGTGATGTTACCCTGAACAAGTCGCCCCATCATGGCATGACTCACATTCACACAGCCCCTGAAGGCACACAGGCTCTGATGCCTCCCCTCCCTGTGTTTCTGTGTGTCTGCCCCACTCTGTCTTTCTCAGCGCTGCATCTCGGTGTCAAATAGAGTCAGTGCCCACACCACGGGCCTCAGGGAACAGAGAGACAAGTCTGCCTTTCTGCACATCTCGCTGCTCTTCATCTCTCACCCGCACTTTGTTTTTTTTTTTTTTCCTTTTTTCCGATACAACAAGAAGAAAACCCACATTTTAGATAGTTGCTTTGGAAGTTGCAGCCATTAGAGACGTGCATCGAGGGGAAATGCATCAGTCAAAGGGATGCTGGAAAACAAAAGAGACCTTTCACTGCATCATTTCAATAATAATCAATATTCTTTGATATTTCAAAGCGTAGGGGTAGATGGTGCATGCTTAATTAGTACTGCAGCCTGTTCCTGTGCATATACTGTAATGTGCATTTCAATCTACAGTGGCAGCACTATTTTTGGATATGATGAACGGAGATTGTTTAATCAATATTAATGGTTTTCACCAGCTGTCCTCAGCTTCTTTTTCAAGGAATTCATCTGACAATGAATGAGAGCGCACTGAAGGGAAGTGTGTGTGTGTGTGTGTGTGTGTGTGT